TTTACAATTTTGTGAGGATTCTGAAAATGTCATTGAAATTGACGGTAAGTGCATTTTAAACAGAGTAAAATAACCTTTTTCATAACAACTACAATAATTTTTGAAAAATCTTAATTTATTTGTTATTCCCTAACTGTTGAAGTTGGGAACCTCAAATTTGCGACATTCTGTCACTAATACCATGTAGTTTAATGCAAAATTTTATTTAACACTTATGACCGGACACCCTGTATAAAATTATCTTTAAGCCTAAAGTAAATGTTAATACACCACTTACCGAAAATCACTTACACGAAATCGATAACCACGATCTTATGCATTTGCCGTCATGCGAGTCAACAGTATAGGTGTAGATATATGTTTCATTAGTGCTATTAAATTATTTTCCTCATGCAAATTCAATAACACGTACAATGCAGATCCAAGAAGTTATTTAATTTAATAATTCTGAGCCATGGATGGTTTTTAACATCCAATATTGCTTTGTAGAGTCTGTAGACGGTTAATAATTCAAATTCTTGGAAATAGGTGATTTATTTTAAGATTGGTTCCTTTTGTAAATGTAAAATATCATTTACGTTAACCTTGGTCCTCCATAAACCTCTATACCATAAAAACTGTGACACAATATTTCGGTAAAGTAAACTGTTCACAAAATGTCTCTACCAGGATAATATAGGCATATAATTATACGAAGTTCATAGCTATTTTTAAAAATATTCTCAACACGTGAGGTTCAATAGAGTGTACTATCAGTTTTTAAGCCTACAAATTTGAATTTTGAGGAGATTATCAGAAAAAGGTCTTTTGAGTTTATAGGTTCTTACTTTACGAAGGTTGTTTTATTTAAATTAGTTAGGGAGAAGGTTGTTAATTTTACCTACTCTTTCAGTTTTAAAATAGAATAATTAATTTGCATTTCAAGAAGTTCATTATCTTTACCGCATATGTAATCTACATACAAACATAAGGTATGCATGTCGTGAGATGAGTGTTTAAACATCCCTTTCAAGGGGCATAACAACAGAAATGGCCCAACACTGTCATGGTTCGGAATAGATTACTTATCTAATTAAACATAATACATTTGGTTACCATTCAAATGTCTAAAGCATATTATAGACGGCCCTCTAAAAATATTTTAATCCATTTTAACTCTTTACCTCTAATTTCATACATCTTAAGTTTCATTAACTGAGAGATGTCCAGAAAAGCACCAACAATCTTGTTGTTCTCATCCAATTTTTGTACATACACATTTTTAATATAAAATAATAATGCTGTTAAAAGTAGATTATATTTCTATACCTATGTTGTTCTTTGTCCAATAAGCATTTTTCTTCAAAATAATCCACTAGCTAAATAAGAATTCATTTCTAAAATAGTTTCGATATTGCTGATAGAATCGCTATAGGTCTGACGTCAAGGGGATATTTTTGTCACCCTTTTTTGTATACTTGAATTATTTTTGAAATGTTTAGTTAAGCAGAATAAACACTTGTATTAATGAGGTTGTTAAAAAAACATGCAAAGTGGGTTTCAAAACTAGATTGCAATTTATTATTGTGTTCGTGGTAAAACATAATTTTCAACCACATTAGAAAAGTGATCGTTTAATATATTAGAAAAGGCATATGGATATTCTATTTCTAAGTCTTTCTGCTTAAGTATGATATCAGTAAACGTGTTTTCTTTTTTCCTTTTAGTTTCAGTATTTACAATTTTCAAAACCGTTTATGTTAGCATTAGTTGATTTTTATTGGATTATTTCATTCAAATTATTTCTTTTTTGAGTTTAATAATTGTCCAGTATGTCTCCCTTAGTACAATTGTAATTGTTTTGTATGTGTCCTCTAATACAATTCTTTAAATTACTTAATCTCAGGTGGTGATCTGCAATTATTTAGTGACATCCATGAATAATTTCATCAACTATCCACCTTTTATTTTCGGACAACTTTGGTTTCAGACCAACTGGGGGTGTCCAGACTTTTATCTTGCTTGCTCATCTTAAATTAAAATGGCTGCCATTTTGATTAGGGGTGCCATATTGACCTCTGGTTTGCACCATTCAATTTCTCTTGATAAACCCTTTACAATGAGGGGTCACATGATAGGTGTTTAAATTAGAAAATTTGGGGCTGCCCCCAAAATACCACATTTTGAGGGCTGGGGCAAAGTTATAACGTTAATGGAAAAGTGCAATTTCTTATGTTGTAAATATGTGCCGACTATGGTTTTCCTACTGCAACGCGTTAAAAAGTAAACTGGGGTGTTCCAGACTTTTGCCTAACCCTGTATATTAAGACGTTGTAAAATTATGTAAATTTCAACATACAAGCAACAATACAACTATAAAGCTATGACCAAATACTTATTAGAGAAATCACAGATGTTGGATTAAAAATGAATATTTTCCTGTTTAATCTTCTTTTAAACTATGTACTTTTGAATTTATAATGTTATTCTTATTTGAGTTGTGAGAATTTTAAAAAGTTGCACATATCGTACATGTCTTGCAGTATTCTTATTAAAAGTTTTATGAGGATTTCAAAAATCACCTTTATTTTAACAATACATGTGATTCCTACATAGTAGTATAAGTTTTTTCATAAAACTACAATTTTTTTAAATTTATCTTTCATCCTCTTACTGTTTGGGAACCTCAAATAGGCATCATTGAATCACCATTATCATGTAGTTTGAAAAAGACTTTACTTAACACTTATGACTGGACACCTTGTATATGAGGTACTTCCACTTGAAATTTCTCCGATCATATCACCTTTGTTTCCCAGCGAGCCTTAGGGAGACTAAGAGGCTTGTATAGGTTCAGAGGCTTGTTGTCTGAGGCTGCAAAACTTCAGCTCGTGCAGTCACTAATACTGTAAGTATTTTACTACTGCTTCCCTGCATATGGCAATAGCATTTCTCGGGAAGATGCATCGGTTGCAACGTCTCCAAAACTCGACAATCCGTTTCATTTTCTGTTTGAAAAAATTTGATCATGTCTCTCCCTTTCGAGAAGTAGCTAGTCTGCTTCCCGTTGAAGCCATGTGCAGGTTGTTGACGTGCTGCATGACCCACAGAGTGTTGTCTCTTTGTAAGCCCGACTATTTACGCGAGAGGCTTTCTCTTCGTAACGAGGTTTCCCAGCGCAGGACACGTCAGGGTGGCAGGCTTTTCACCTACCAAGAGTTTCTCTAGAGCTTGGGAGGAAGAGCTTCTCATATTTTGGTCCCTCGTTGTACAATGGTCTACCCGACGGCCTGAAGGTTGTTGCATCTTGCAAAACATTTAAAGAAAAACTTAAAGATATGTTTTAAAAAAATGTGTAATTATTGTATAGGTGTATAATGGCCAAATAGTAGAATAAGATATTTAGCATAGCTGAAAACCTGGTGTACTAGAGAAACGCTTAATAAAGACATTTTTTTATTACTTGAAGAACATCACTATTCCCGAAGATGATGTTCTTCATCTATTATACGGAATACGACACTAAGGGAATTCACCCTCATCTGAAGATGCTTTCATATGGCAGAAGGCTCTAAGAGTTATGGCTGGGCTCTTCTTCAGAAGTTTGTAGAAATATTTTCCCACGTATTATAGACTGATTATGATGTATTCTTGCTGTAAAGATGTCTCTTATAACTATCTTCTATTTAATGACAAATTGAGCTTTATGACTCTTGAAGGTACCTACGAGGTAAAGAGAATTGGTAACTACATCCAAGATTTCCTTATAAACCTCCCACCAACGATAAGCGGTGTTCAACTTCAGCTAATTGCAAACAACAATGCACTTGAACTGTAGCAAGTGTTCAGTGCGGGTAGATATACTTGTAACTCTGTGAGCGTTGTGGTTTAATAGGGTCAAAATTCATACAAATCAATTACAGTACGCATCATGTACTGTATGGTTAGTGACGACGCAATCTACGTATGTAACCTAACCACCAACTATTGCACCCAACCAGTCCACCTTGAAAGTCTACATTGGTCGAAATACAAACACAGACACCAATAAAATACCTAGTAAAGAAAGGTATAGACAAGCCAACTTTAAACTCACAAATTTGTACTGCATGAGGGTTAACCTTGTTGTTAGCGAATTTCTCATATAGGGAATACGCTATTACCATAGGTCTCATATTAATACCTGGACCCGGGACCGACTTGCTTTTTCGTTTTGAAGACCCCAGAGCCCCAAAACACCATCTGTTCAGATTCATATATATATTTAAATACATTATTGAAAACTAAATACCTAGCCTACCCTTTTAAAACTCATTTTATTAGACAATTTTTAATATCAAAATAGTAGCCCGTTAGCACAATTACAAAGCAAAAATAATCCGATTTGTATTAAATTTGGTACCAACGTCTAAACCTACATTTATTCGAATGAGTTCGCGAACCAGCGTGCTCGGACCACGAGAAACAGGATTTATGAGGTGAAAATTGGGTTTTCTCATTTTTGACCCTAAAACATAAATATCTGAATTTCTCTCTAAATAATTTTTAAGAGCTTGAAAAAAAATTTTGGTACATATCCTGAAATGTTTTTGTACGGTTATTGGTTTCGGAGAACATCCAAACAATTAATTGTAAATTTAAAATACCCATGTTATTCTTATAGAGAATAAGTCAACTGTTGTAGTTAGCTTATTTATGAATATATTTTGATCAAACTTGGCCGATTTATTTATTTTATATTAAGCTTTAATATTTTCGAAAAAAAAACATTTTACTACCCTCCCTGTAGCAGCAAACCTAGGTACTCGTTAAATATAATATTATTCAAATAGATTTAATTGAAAATCAAATCAGGCAAATCGACATTCGTTTAGTCTGCAGGTTTGCTGCGACGGGGGTTTTCATCAAGTTGCACTACATTCTTGACTAATGTGTCTCTCAGTTTTGAATCTAATACTCAACTTATAATTATTAGAAAATATGGGATAGTTTTAAAGCACAATATCAACATTAGATACCAGTTTATTAGTTAATAAACGTAACAGTTTTTATAGGAGTACAATAGTTACCAAATTCAACAGTCACACAGCAATGAATAAAATAAATTTGCTTTTACGTTCAATAACAATCGCTACCTACATTATTACACTTATATTTTTTTGTTACATATTTTAAATACAATGCGACATCTGCTTGAAACATGTATAGTATTTAAAATTATTCTACGTCGTTATAAACTCTTAAATAAAAAAATATATTTCACGAATCTCTTGAATAACTTGTACTAATGTTATTTACTTTGATAAACTGCAAATATTCTATGTTATGCAATCATGAAATTGGAATGATAAAACAAGTATCCGATTTTTGTGAATACGTAAAAGACAACATGTATTTACAAGCTGTTTTTGTCCAAGACTATTATCATTTAGATAATTTGAGAAAATATACAACACATGAAAATTAGCCACAGACGTTTTTTTTTTTTTTACAATTGCTTTTTTAAAATATCTATTGTTTTATTAAAAGCAATTGTTCTAATAAATCCTTCATGATCAAGACATTAAAAAATACAGTATGAACTGTTTTAGCCTGTTTTTAAATATTCATGAGTTAATAAAACAATATTTAAACATGCCGTAACACTGAATAATGACGTAGTTCGACATAGGGATTTTATACTGTTGCGTTATTTAATTATTAATTTAATAAGTTTGTATAGAAATTCCGTTGTAAAAATTATAAACAGTAGGACCTCATACACAAACAATAGTTAGTTATATTAACACCATTTTAAATAATTACGTCCTTTTAAAATGGCGAATTTATTCGATATAAAAACTTTAGTTAGTCGACAAAAATACAACATTTAGATAGCTAATACAAATAAAAATATAATTAGTTATGTACTCTTTTATGATAAACATAAACAATAGTCGTCCTAATTGAAAATTGGCCATTGAAGTATGAGAACAATAGCTACAATATGCATTAATATTTACCCTATTATCATATGGTAAATTTGTAGACTGATATTGTACTATATGAGCGACGGAAAAGTTTTAAGAAAAGATTAAATTTTTGAAATTTACTTAGTTCCGTATTTTGAATTTAAAAAAGCACTGCTATGTATAAATACCCGACCTTTTCCCCAAACTATTCAAAATTGGATACATTTAAATACATATCTTTGTTAGTATCCATACAATTGAGCAAATATATACATTAAGGTTCACAACATTTATACACATAAGCTGAGAGTAAATTCTTGACATATCTATATGATGTCCCTAAATTACATTTATTTTTACAATAATGAAAAAGTATACATATCCTCAAAGAATAAATAAAACAGTCTACTAAAGTGTATTATACGTATTATTTGGTGTTGTTACAATTTCTCTTTATAGGATGTTTGTTTCATGTTCGTTCAAACTCGGATACTACCCGTTTCGTCTTTAGCACAAAACCTTACAAATAACTGTACACAGATCTCTTTTACTAAATATATTACATAACACCATCGTCTTATCGTACGGTAATAAATACTAAAAATACAAACACATAATATTATATAAAACGTGGACTCGGTGAGGTTAAAAGTAGTGACTACGACTATGTTTTACCGTAGGCTAACTGTTGCAATCCCCTAGATAGGAATTATCTGTTAATTCTACACTTTACGGTTTATAGATACATGTTTAATTGGGTTAAGTTCATAAAATGTCACACCAACTTATATAGTTAAATTTAAAATGATTGCTCTGTGACATTTACTATGTGACATGATAAGTGATTCACAGTAAGAATGAATCACGTCGTTCTTTAATGCCACCTAATAATCATAACTTTCGTATGTTTAATTTGGAACAGTAAATTATAGAAATAATTTAATTGGGTCGAAAGTAGTTTTTTACATATTAACAATACATTTCAAAGTCAATTTAACTCCCTTTGGCACCTTGTCATAAAAACTAGTGGACGCATGTCTGAATTAAGTCAATCAAAAATCCGTAGACATCCACGACCTACCATTACATTTTTTAATTCTAGATATACACATGTTCAAAACAGGAGCCAAGCTAGTTTAAAAACATAACGATTTACGAAGAAGTAAGTGACTCCTACAACATTTGTACAGCTTGTATTTCATCTCAAAACTGTATAAATAAAAAACCTACCACCTAACATACTTTTTATGAAAAATCCCGTAGACGTCATAGAAATGCCATAACTAAAGTTTGGGCAGTGCTTAGACAAACAATCATGTTGATTGAGTAAATATCTCAGCTATAGATCGGCTATGACGATACACACTGCGTCTTACCACCTTTCTGCACCACGGATATAATTTTCAAAATGTGTTTTTAACACTAAACGGGTCAATATAACATAGCTACAATAGTAAAATCATGAAAAAGCTCTATTCTGAAAATAACATATTCGATCAAATACGAAGCGTACTTAAATATTTTATCTATAAGATGGAATCATTTGTTTAAAATCCTAGTCCTGACAAAATAGATCCTTAGTAACACATTTTAAGCAAACAATTGTATAGTCTTGATCGTACTGCATACGTTAACTTACACAAATGCAGGGGTTAAATGTACAGGTCACATCCCTTGGTGGAGGTTTCCAAGGGATTGGCAATATGCTAGGAGGGTCCTAGAGGGTCTACGGTCTGCAGAGAGAAGTGTCTGTAGGAGAGATACTCTGCAGGGCCTGGCTGTTCTCTCTTAGCACATTCCCTCTGTTTTTTTAGCTTTAGATAGCCCAGGACGGAGACCAGGACGATGAAGACGACAAACCCCATGCAACTACCGACGATCAGACCCAGACGACGAGTCAGGATGGATCCTCTCCCACGGTCTTGGTTCTCTAGACCTTCTTCCCCCTCCAGAGTGCGCACCTGAACACCAATAACAGTTAACATCTCAGACATATAGACGTCTTCCTATGTTGCGTTTCATAAATAGTTCAAACAAATCGTCGGGAACGGGACGATTGGCACACATTTTTGGATCTTCTGTCCATGGCAGTATTGGCACAATCATTTGAGCGGAATAAGTAGTAGGGTCAACTCGCCTGCTTGGAAAAGGCACGATTGGCACAACCGCTCGACCTGGTAGACGCAATCGAACGAGGGAAAACGGGAAGTTTAAAACCCCCGTCAACTCTGCTACGACAGTTATTTGCCGGTAATATTGCGTATTTTCAAAGGTTAAGTTAGGTTAGGTTAGGTTAGGTTAGGTTAGGTTAAGTTAGGTTAGGTTAGGCTAAGTTAGGTTAGGTTAAGTTAGGTTAGTGTAGTTTTATTTGGATCGAGCTAGCGCAGTGACCATAGCTGCAGATTTGTCGCGCAAACTTACACCTTGCTTACTTCAATAAGCACCACAGCAGGGAATTTGTGAGGACAAAACCATTTACATTTTCCCGCATTCTGGCTACCTGGCTGCTACTTCCTTACCGGTCTGTTGTGCCAATCGTGCCTTTCCGAACCTTACAGGTTGACCCTTCTTAATCCCCTCTAATGATTGTGCCAGTCGTGCTATTCCAAATCGGCTAAAAATGTGTGCCAATCGTTCTACGGCCAAATCGTCCACCTTGGTAGGACTGGTATTATCTCAATAGGTTAATCTAGTCTCACCTCGGTACACCGGCTCATCTGGGAGTCAGTGAGGTGTGGCACAGGGTCCCCCAAGAGCACTTCACCGGTCATGTTGGCCTGCTGGCGACTGAGGGGTGGGCCCCAACTGCCCAGCCCAAGAACACAGATCAGGTAGCGTGTGTCAGGAAACAGCCTGACCAGTTTCACTGACCTTGCTGATCTGTCCAGGAACTTTCCACGGACCTGAAAATAAAACGTGGGTTGGACTTGATAAATAACACGAAGACAGGATAATAAACACACTATTCTCTTCGATAATGCATTTTCAACATACTTTTTCTATAAAGTTGCGATGATGTTATATTAACACCTTAGACCTTTTTCAATGTCTCATTAAACTATATTGCTTACACATTCTTTTTAATTACTCAAAAGGAGTACCTCTTACGTTTGTAATAAAAAAAAATTAGTTATATAGAATCAATTTATATTATTCAATTATAATTAATTATATACTCAACGACTTAACTTGAAAAGCTAAAGTATGAATATTAAATACCTTAGTAGATATTCTGAACACACTTCAAGAATGTATATTAATATAAGATATTTTGAAAATAATAGTCAATTAAAGTTTTGATTTCAGAAAGAAATATATAATAAATTTGTCCACTTGAATGTGAAAGACATAAATAAGACAACATTTTTTGAAATGAATTGCTATTAAAAAATCCAACGTCTTCTGGAAACCTCGAGTATACCGCACTCCTGGTAGAATTAACGGTAGAATTAAGGTTTGCACGTATAAACACATACACGACCAAGGCTTTCAAAAACTGCAATAAAAATTTACTTTAAACTGCTATAAATATCTTAATTTTAGGTTAAAATCAGATCCATGCTAGACTCTGTTCTGGGAAAATTCTCGACTCGTTAAAAACTCCTATTGTGTCTAAATTAAATTAACTTTAAACATTTGAGAAATATATTTGAACATTGTAAAATGTACAAACACTGATACAAACCATTAAATTGTACAACTGACTCACAACAGAAAACAATAAATAATTCACCAATCAGCTGGTATTAAAATATAGGAAAATAGAATATTATTAATTGACACTAGATTGATTATATATCAACTTCAAAAAACATTTAAATATGTTTAACGTTGGCTGTTATGGGTAGCCAATTAACCCTGATGGTTTTCAAAATAACAAAGAAAACGTAAACGAAAGAATCGCAACATAAGTTTATTACAAGCTTGTAATAGAGTAGTTCCACAGTAGGGTTCGTCCATGGAATAGAACCTTATTAAACCTTGTCAAACCGAGAATGAAGATTGTTTCCAAGTAAAACCAATAAATTATATGTTTGTAATATGAGTTTAACTAGAGTTCTAGGCTAAATTTATTTTTTTTTGTTTAAACATACCTAACTGTTTTAATAAGTCTTATCCTAAATGTTGTTATGTGTGAAAACTAATGCCAAACTTTTAAATCATAGCACATAACCTTTAGAGCATACAGTAAAATACATCTCGCAAACCTTTAAATTTTGCCTTTGAAACTACATTATTTAGCCTTCATCCATTTAAGGTAATCAGAGGGCTTTAGTGCAGTTTCCAATAACTATTTCGTCTTTCTTACTTATTTAATAGATTCAAATATATTTAAATGAGTAGATTTATCATTAAAATCTATTGATTTTGAATAAAAATTACAATTTCTGTAAACCTAGCATAAGTTTGTACGATAGAGAGGTTTGGTCAGAGATAACTACCTATAAGACTATAAAATGTACAATATGGTATGAGATTAGCCATCATAATATTAAGCCTTGTCCAGCTTAAAAAAATATTCAATTTGGCTAGTAAATTAAAGAGTTATTAGTAAGGAAATTATACAGTTTAGCAACAAACATGTTTTTAATTGTATACTCAATGTGAAAAAGACTGTTCAAACACCTAATTATTATGCAATTACATTAGATTAACTTCAAGACCATTAACAGAATCCTTTTCCAAAATTGTACGGTTTAAAACTGACTTTACATAGAAACCGCATCTGTTGTAAATTCAAAAATAATGTTCAAGTGTCCAAACAACCCTCATTTTTCCATAATTTAACTCAAATGGCTAAATAATTAAAATCTTTGCCTTTTAGTGAAGTACTGTTGTTTTTAAATGTTACTTAAGTTGAATATGTCTTCATTCAAATAACCTATTGCAACTGATTAAAATTAAATGTAATTAATGATTGGAATCGAATTGAAGGAACTTTTTGTTTTGTTTTTTGTATGTTCCATTTCAGTGTTTTATTTAATAAAACACTTTAATACATAAAGGTTTTATTTTATATCCTATTTTATCCTGAGGCATTGAAGGTGTCTTTTGGGGGAATACAGTGTTTTTTTTTTATAGAAAATACGTGCAAATCCATATCTCACTTACAAAATGTATTTAAAAATATTTGTCGGTGACACTTGATTAATTTAAAATTTTTTATGGTTTTAAGCTACCTACTTTTGAAAATAAAACGATCGAATGCCAATAAAAATTGCCCTATTTACGTGGCAACCTTATTCAAATGTTAAAATTATGTGGATTTGAGTTTGTCATCCATATGACTATAAACTCAAATTACACCCATTTCCATACTTTCCTTTCTAAGCCTTGTTGAAATATGTTTTCTTTTTTTCAGACTGTGGCTGTGACCGGCCAGATAATAGTTTTGCATATTAGCTGGATGCTGAACGTAACATAAATACAAACTTAAATAAGCAGTTATGAATGTAATATCTTAATTTATTTTGATATTATGCTACAATTAATTGTAACTTTCCTGGTCGTAAGCTACACTAATAAAAAACTGTTGAATGCCAATACAAAATAAAGCAAACCTGTATCAGATGGCAAAATAATGTATATTTTATTTTATTTTTAATATAATTAGTTTTACCGCGTATTTAGATCAGTATTTACGTTACCGGTAGATTAAAATGTCTTAATAAAAACAAAATCTGTTGAAAATCAGCATTTTGAATGTTTTATATTTATTAACCTCCCAAATAAATTAAACACAATTCATCACTGTGTGGTCCCTGGTACTGTCTCCTTGTGTTACAAAGAACAAAACTACACATTTTATTTACCAGTAAAACAAAAATAGAGAACGGGTGCTTATAAGAACAATTATTTCTTAATTCTAATTTATATTACCGCCTCTCTTCCAGCAGGTCCTTTCTTGTCCAAAGCATGGTACGCGACCCTATATCCATGTAGGCCGGAGTGGTTGCGACTTTGCCATGAAACGAGGACACTGAAAGGCTGAATGTCCTGGATAGCAAGTTTGAGAACCAGAGGGGCAGAGCAGAACCGTGGAGGCTCCAGTTCCAGGAAAAGGAGGCCACGGAGCTCTGGAGGATGTTCACACCTGAGATTAGACTTGGTGAGACCCACGAGCTTTTGGTGATCCCTAAGCCACTCCCACAGCTCCTGCTGTTCACAACCGCAGTGAAGAGGATTCTCTGCACAAGGATAAACGGTTAAACAATCAAGTTCTTATGTATCATAAATAAAGGATTACAGAAAGTATATTACCCACATACAGTATTACCCTCATGTATAGGATTGTTATTTTAAACACAAGACCATTAACATTAGAAAATGATTAATACATTGCTTGTTTCGATAAGGTTAAGTTAACTTATCTTGATTCGGAATTTTCATTCCATGAATGGATCTTGAATTATGTCTTCCTCCGTCTTTCTGAACTTAATATTGGTTTATATTTCGTATTAATTTATTTATTTAAGTAACAGTAAATTACCTGTTGAACTAAATATATATAGGCCTAAATGTATATTTTCAAAAAGACTAACTGCACTTTTACTACCTTGTTTACGAAACATTCAGTGTATATGGAAATGTCTGCTAGCCGTAATCCAAATACTTGGATTTTTCTGTTACTTCGAAATTATATAACGTTTGGAGCCGATACTTTGCTTTACTAAAAAATTGCATCGTTACGAGAAGCCTTCGTCAACATGTTATTATACTACCAACAGAATCAACAATCTGCATGAATGAATTTATCAATTATTCATATTGTTCACCAAATTGATATGTCATGCACCTATTGAAGTTTTAACAATTTTAGCTATAGTAATTGTGGTTTTTAAGAGTTTCAATATGTCTCTTTGCAACAGTGATTGTACCATTGCTTGATAATCATAATCCATAATTCCAACCCATCACAGAGAGCATCACTGATCCCTTCCAGATTCAGACTACTGTACCAGCTTTGAAAATGTAACGTTTAATTCCTTCCAAGATGTAGACCGGCACATTTTCCAATATGGCAGACAACTTTGTTATTTCTCATGGAACACTCTGCATTTTATGATTGTTTTAGAATGGAAATGTGATTTAAAAATGTTTTTGTTCTTGACATTTTTTTAACTACTCGTTTAGGAGTTACAGCGTGTTAAACCGAAGACAAAAAAGGCTTGTGGTGTACATTCTGCATCCTGTAGCTCCTAAAGAAGTTGGTTTAGAGAGAAAATGCAAAGAATAAATAAGTCTTAAGATCGCATAAACATCCTAAAAAGACCATAAAATCAGAGTGTTCAAAATTAAAGTTTGCTGCCATATTGGAAAATTATGGCCGTTTTTGAAACATCGGAATCAATATTTTAAACGTATTTTATGATTTTATTAGAGTGTTGATGCAATTTAAGGACTTATTATTTATTCTTTGCATTTTCTCTCTTAACTTACTCGTTTAGGAGCTACAGGATGCAGAATGTACACCACAAGCCTTTTTTCTAAGGTTTAACCATTGACTATATAACCACAACGTTTAACACGCTGTAACTTCTAAACGAGTAGCTTTAAAAAAAATGTCAAGAATTTAAAAACATTTAAAATCACATTACCATTCTAAAACAATCATAAAATGCAGGGTGTTCCATAAGAACTACCAAGGTTGTCGGCCATATTGGAAAAAGCCGGATATATTTTAAAATTCAAAACCATCCCAAAAACATCTTAAAAAATAAAGGGGAGTGCCCCGTAAGAATTTAACTCTATATCTCATAGTAAAAAAGTTAGCTATTGGTTCACTGCAGTTGGGACACCCTGTATAATAAAAATTAAATAATTTAAAACACATCCCTTAATGTTCGACCATATCGTGAAGCTGTAATGTCCACTACTAAGATACAGAAAGAAGAGACGGAGCTCACATAAAGATCTTTGTAACGATCGTGGCTTTAGGATTCCGCTCATCTTCTCAAAAGTGTCAACTAGAGGTGAGTAAACAGTGAAGATAACTGGTCTAATTTCCTGCAGATAATATGTTTACATTACACTTAGTCGACGAGTGTTTAACAACAGTTTCTTTCTTTTTACTAGATACCAATATAGACTAGACACATCAGTTTCTTCTACAATTGAACCAAATGCCTCGTAGCTTCAATGTCAAATTGAAAACAAATAGAGCTAATTTACAGATTGATTATCCAGCCCTGGATGCTCTTGAAAGAATCCACAAACGTACTTGGCTTAGCGTACTAACCTAACCTAACCTAACCTAATCTAACCTAACCTAACCACACCGACGCCTGTAGATTTTGGAAATAAAAATGTATGCGTTTTATTCACATTCCATGTTTTTCCACAATTATGAAACATGTAATAAACTAATGGCGTTATACAAGACTGTAAACCAAATAAGAGATTAATTCTATCAATGCTAGGAGACTCGTGCGCAAATTGTGCATAGTAGGGTCTAAAACATGTCTTGAAGGCAAAAAAACATGCAATTTAACACTTTACTTCTAAAATATTTCGTTTGAGACACTTATTACGAGAATGAACTAATTTACAATAAGTTAAATTTTGTTGATTGTAGATCTGTACCATAATTTGTTACCTACCTCAAACAGGTACAATTAGGCTATCACTAAAATGCTAGCATTTTCATGGACTGTTTTGTCCATTGGGTAGTATTTGATGGTGATTAACATTACACTGAAGACAATAATTAGGCAATAGTTAAGTAGTGGTTATTAAGTTACGATTGACTTTTAAAACCACATTAAAAAAAGTTGGTAAGCAACACTGGATTTTTTAACTCGAAAAATAAATCATACTCTAAGGGGGCGAAGCCCTAAATCAAACTACCAAATGGTATTGTTTAAAGCTTTAAATCGTATAAATCGGTTAAGTGTGGATCGCGAAAAATGGGTTTAACAGAGACTTCCCTTATTGTACCAAACCTTCATTGGAATTCTAACTTCTATAAAATAAAAAATCTCTAAATATTATCACAATTTTAATCTTAGCTTAGAGTTTTAACCCTTAAGATGAAATTTAAGTTAAATCTCACCCAATGTATTAATTATTGTCGATATTTAAAACGGGGTTTGAAATAGCCATTGATTCAATGATAAGAGTCATTTTAATGAATGAAATATTCTAATTAGCTAGAGTTTCTCTGAAACATCAGATTTTGAAACAATATTGTCAACTAATAGGCCTACTAACACTAAACAACCTTGAAAAACTTTTACTTCTTAGTCAGGATAACTTTCTCTGTGTTAATGGAAATAATCGTGCTGTAACAAAATATAGCTATTGTTGAAGACGGTTCGTATTATATTTCAAACAAACTTGCATCTCGTGTAGCACATTAACAAAGCGTGATTAGTGTAATGACATTTTGACGGCAAACTTCACTTCACCACGTAAATCTTGTGGAGCGAAGTAGAATATCAGTCTAAAGTAACAAAAAACTCTAAATATTCGAGTTACAACATTTTTTTTAAATCTAATTTTAAACTTTTGCCACATTTTAGTTTTGAATTGTTAATGGTTTTATTTTATTTTTTATTTTTACGATAGTAGGCTATTACTGAAGGGCTCTTTGTAAGACCGAGATAAAGAAGAGATAAATATACATGTTTTATATTTCTACCCAGACTCGTGGTTGTATACGCGTTCCAAAATTATAGAGCAAATTTTACATGTTTAATTTTGAAATGCCTATCATATCTCTAAGTATTATACAACGCTCCAGTCTGGGATTGTTTTTACACATTACTTTAGGTTGCGGTGTTATCATTTAGATCAAATTCATTGGTGATTTGCAAGATCTAAACCCGGGGTGCTCATAGATCAACTCGCTCCCCAACCTATGTGACAGTAAATATAGCAAAGAATTAAGTTTTTTTGTCGTATCCGACAAATGTCTGTTGATATTTTCTAGCACATTTTTTTGTTTATTATCATTAGTCTTGTAATTGAAAAAATCACGACCCCTCAAGGAAAACATTTTGTCTTTCAGAATTTGGGGAATAAGAATTATCGATTAAGAACAACGAAATCCTCAACAAACATTCAATTAGTAACTAGCTCGTCACAAACAAATATATGATGGGTGCAGAAATTTCGTAGAAACTGGTTGTGTGTATGACAAAAACAGCACAGGATGATTTTGGACATCCGGAGAAAAAGTTGAAAAGGACCGTAATAGAAAGATTAGGAAGAAAAAAATAACGGGCAATCAGCTGATACTGATACGTCAGTGAAATTTAATTCTTTGTCTATAAAATTTAATATAAATAGTCGACTAATAGTCTTCTCTTTAATTTTGAAACTCCCTGTATATATACATGATGTAAAAGGTAGGATTATGTGAAAGCTAGTAGTTTTCAGCTAAAATTTCCAATCCACTCTCAACTCTAAGGCTGAAGCGGAGTGGCATGAGTTTGAAAGGACTTGGAGCTCTAATGCCGTTAAAACCGACTGTATAATGAGTTCGTAGTGAACATGCCTTTGAAATCTCTATCTCATCACTTAACACTCTGCTGCGCTTAGGAAATTTTATATATAACGATAGGTTTTGACATTTTTATTCGCGCTTCTTTAAAATTAATAAGAAAACACGTTGGACTAAACGAGTGGTGGTTTTTTTTATTCCGAGAATAATTATTTGTTTTTAAACAATATCCAATTTTTTTTCGGGAGTTGATTTTGAAATAGTATTTAAAAGAACAACAGGAAATCGTTTGAGCTTCATTAGGAGCTGATGGATAACATTTTGTTCTTTGATATTTTGGAACTTTTTACAATAATTTGTCGTCGTCGTTAGGATGGGCTGTTGAGATAAAACGTAAGTAACTTTTGACAATCAGATAAATTCGCTTAAACATATTATGTATATCGCATCGATTGGGGATGTAGCTTTGGAAACTGTTGGTAGATATGTAGTTTACTGAAAGATAGTCATTAAATAAATTCCTCTGTTCATAAAATATTGAATTAATGCATAACGGTACAATACTAAAAAATATATTCTTTCACGTGAAAGGTTCCAAAAATCTTAGCAATCAAAGCATATCGAACAACGTAACAAAAACAAATTTTGTTCGGTTGTAAATCCTATATACTTTACATGAGAAATACTTATGTAAAGCAAAATTAGAATATTTCCAGAGTCTCTTGAGATAAGAGTAGTGAAAGT